GTGGAGCTCGCCGTGCATCGTGTCGCGCCCCCGCCGTGTCGTCTCTGCTCACGCGTTGGAGCTCGCCATGCCCAGGCGTGCCCGGCCGCCATGCTTGTCGCGCCAGCTGTGCCGTGCCGAGCCGCGCTCGCCCTGCCTCGTCTCGCGCCCCGCACATGCCATGCCGTGTCGAGCCGCGCTCGGCCTGCCTCATCTCCGCCCCTGTTGTGCCGCCCCGCTCGCGGGCTCCGCGTTGGAGCTGGCGGGCCCGGCCGCCTCCACGTTGTGGCCGGCGGTGCTGCTGGCGCAGGTGGTCGTGGCCGCCAGGCGCCCCTCGTACGCGCTTGTGTGGTGCGGCTCGTCCCGGCCATGGTCAACTGCACCTGTGTCTTTGCCTGCTGCGTGTTTGAGGAAATGCCGGGGCGAACATGTACAAAAATGCGTCTGCCTGCCATTGGGCGCATCGGTTGACCCAAATAAAAAAGCGGACACAGACGCGCGGACGAACGACCCAAATAAACAAAAAACAGATAAAATCGATGTCCGTTTGGGTCACCCCATTGAAGTTGCTCTTACAAAGGAGAACACAACTTCCCATAGCTGTGCACGTAGCAATTGAACTTTTCTGCACGGCAACAAACTGGAAACAGACACAGATATCTTTCAGACTTAATAGCGCGTGAAGAACTTGAGAAAAATGGAGCTTCTAGTCCCACACAGAAAAATACTAAACTAACAGTAATAATATTACCACAACCTGCAACAGTTCGTTGGCGCGTACACATCAATCAATTTTAAGAAGATATGGTCTGCCAAAGTGGAGCCTAAGGCCCCATTCGGCGTCGCTCCGCTCCACGGCTCCGCTCTGAAAACGGATGGAGCTGTAGTGCAAAATCTAGAGCCAGCAAACAGCCGCTCCGTAGATCCTAAAAGCGGTGGACTCCCGAACGAGGCCTAAGTGCAGATTTTTTATGTGGTTATGGCTGAACGAGAAGATCCTGACAAACGACAACCTGCAGAAGCGCAGACTGCCAAACAATGGCGCCTGCAACCTTTGCGACCGGGCGATCGAGTCACCCGCCCACCTCCTTCTGCACTACACCTTTGCGCGAGAGGTTTGGTTCCTAATCGCAGATTGGCTTGCCTAGCCAACGCTCATATTGCCTGTAGACTACAGTGCCTCTCTATCAACATGGTGGCAAGGCACGGCATGCGGCCTGCCTCCTCACCATCTCGCTGTGGCAATCTACGGTTGCTGGAACATACGGAAGGAGCGGAACCGAAGGGTCTTCGACAACTCAATCTGTAATGTAGACCAAGTGTTCTGCTTTCTCAAGCAGAAAGTGGCTATTGCCAACGCTCGCATCACCTCGAGCGTCTTTAGCGAAAACCAACCGGAACCCGAGCCGGATTAGGATTTTTACTTTATGATAGATTATGTGGCCTGAGGGAGCCCCGATCCCTAACTTTGTAACTGAACCTTATTTGCTCCTCTCCTGAAATGCAATGGCAGTACACCAGCAACTGAATTGGAAACTAGGATGCCAGCCGCGGCAACATGGAGTCAATTGATCATGCGGACTGGTCAACAATCCAGGCGTTTCCTGGGCTCTGTCTGATCATACTGTTCACATATGATGGAGTTTATGTACTTTTTTTTCTTGTTTCCTACATATGATGGTCATTTTAAAGTATATAATGTCAAACATTTCGGGTTTGACTATCGATGATAAAAGAAGCATACTTTTATAATGTATAATGATCTTTATAACAAAGCATGACATTGTAGACCGCGCCCATGTTCTAAAGGACTTCTCTTTTGGAGACTGAAGCATTTAGCTGAGAATACGTAGAATGAGCAAGATTAAAGCATTTGGCCTGCATGAACCTATATGAAACGCGAAGACATTTATAAGAACTGGACTCGATGAATTTATATTTGAAACTTAGAAAGAAAGGCACGATTTCAAGTACTATTTTGCTCATAAAAGACGTAATCTATTTTAGCTGTGTATAAATAAAAGTTCAGGCAACAAAAAAAATATAAGCATTTTTTATGTATCAAATTGTCATTTAGGTACAATATGATTCTTGTAGTTCTCGTGCACAAATTAAATTTTTATGAACTTTGTAAAATCATAGTGGGTCATATTCTTGTACACAAATTATATTATGTATCCCCATTGGAATATATTGCTCAAAGGTGTTGCAAGACCCTGGTCCCTACCTCCCATGCCAAAGATGGCGAATGAAGTGATTTGAACATCATAAAATTACAATAAAAATGAAAAGGACAAACTGAAAAACATAAAAGAAAATAACTTGTGCACTTGATGAAACTCTATAGGGCCAGAGTAGTACAAGTAGACGTTGCCGAAAGGCATCACAAACCGAGACCTTACAAATTGCAACGTCACTTGCCTGCTTATCGATGATCCATTAGCAGGTTATCGTAATCCTATGCAAGTTAACGATTATCGTTAGCATTGTCGGAAAAACTTACTGAAGCGAGACAACATTGTACACACATCTCTCACGAGCGAATCTCGTTTCATCAATTCCATGTGTTTTGCCAATATTCAGGAGGACTTTAGCGAGAAACTGTTAGGAAGCATGGCTCTATCTTGTGAGAAGATTGATGAATGTTCACCTATCTCAACAGTCCGATCAGTTGCACTGGAAACTAACTAAGAATGGAGAGTTTTCGGTTAAATCCATGTATTTGAATATTATCAACACAAGCTCTATACCTCGATCGAAACATGTTTGGAAAGTCAAAGTGTCTTTAAAAATCAAAGTGTTTATGTAGTTTGTCCATAAACAAGTCATTTTAACTAAGAACAATTTGGCAAAGCGTGATTGGACAGGATCTACAAGATGTAGCTTCTATGATCATGATGAATCCATCAAACACCTCTTTCTTAACTGCCCATTGGCCAAAAAATTGTGATGGTCTGTCCACATAGCATTTAATATTACTCCTCCGAATACTATCAACACGTTCTTTGGGACGTGGTTAGATGAGATAGATTCAGAAACGGCGAGATATATCCGTGTAGGAGTATGTGCTTTATTATGGGCAGTTTGGAACTGCAGGAACGATTTATAATTTTTAACAAAAAAACAAAATATTTATTTCTTGCAGGTTATTTTCCGGGCCACTTCACTGACCGTATGTGGTTGCTACTCACTCCGACGGATGCCAGAGAGCATTTGGTTACTGGGTCTATCCGGTGGGAGACGGTAGCACGGGCTATTTTCAACCGGTTTGGATGGCGGTCATGTAATAGGATAGGTGTTTAGTTTCCTATTTTCTTTTTTGCCTGCCGGTTGTGGCTATCATGTTCCTTTATGCTTTTGCTCTATGTGAGCTTTTTTTCCTTTTGAGACCTGAAGACTTTGTTGAACCTTTTGCTTATTAATAATATGGTTGTATGCATTGTTTTGATGCAAAGGCCGGGGATAACCTCCTTTTTGAAAAAAAAATGTTTTGCCAATACCATGAAAGGGTTTTGCAAAACCATCATCCCACCAAACAGCACAACCCTTGATCAAGAGCTCCGTCATAGGATCAACCAGAGTCACTTTGTGAAGTGGGCTTAGCCATGCATATGCATCATCGAAGGCTGCAATTAACCCAGTCTATACCAAGAGCACGATAGTCACCACATCACCATTGTCCGTCACCAAATATCATAGAATTGGGCTGAGCTCTGGGGGAAAAGCGAAGAGCCAACCCCAGAGACCACATGATAAACATGAGGGTACCAATTGCGGTGTCGCCCATTGCCACTGGCGACCCCTCTCCCCAACCCCCCTATCAACACCGTCGCCGAGGAGCGAGGATCACATCAGGACAGGAAATGGCGTTCCTATGCGACACCTGCAAGAAAGAAATGGCGTCGTTGCTGACCCTGCCGCCAAAACCACACCATCGCCGAGAGGCAGAGCCAGGCGACGGAGGACACTTGTGGGTTTATTCGTGATTTTTGTTTGAACTTCCAAACGAATAGGTACCATATTTGTACGAGCTTCTATAAAGAGTATCGGTGTAACATTATTCCGTCCGTTCATAATTGTAATGCACGTTTGTGTGTGCTAAATAGAGGATCCATACAGGGTGCTGCAGTACTGGTAGTACGTAGTAGAGTACATGTTTGTTCCATGTATATGTACCGTGTCCTACGTGTCCGGCCGGAAAACACGCTTTCACTTTTTTCACCCGGACGCTGTACAGTCCCTACAACACGCCATTAAAGTCGACCGTTCGCTCTCGAGTTTTGAATCATCAACGGGGTACGAGGAAGTGAGGTTTGCCGAAAGAAAGAAAGAACTTTGAGCAAGTCAGGACCGGTGAAACCGTCTCGGTGCCGTCAAAAGCTCGGCGGCAGCGCCAGCCCTCAACTTTGTGGCCACCTCACTGCTGAACTTTGTTGTATTAACATTTTGCCTAATAGTATGGTTAATAGTATAGTCAACTGCTGGTCTTGCCAAGTCATCTGTAGCCAAATTTATAGCCGACAAGTACAATAGTTACATGTAAATGTGCACTGCTTTTTTGATATAGCCAAATCTATAGCCAAATCATCGGTGTAGTATTCTCGCAAGAAAAAAAAACTTCACGGGTTAGTCCAGGCACCAGCAGCCAGCCGCAGAGGCACGGGGTAGTATTGTCGCAGAGCCAGACCGCGCCGCGTCCCCCGCCTCCCGTCCAAAACCACGTGTACGCCGCCGCCGCCGCCACCATCGCAGCAGTGGAAACGCGAGGAGAAAGAAGAAGAAAGAAAGACATCCAGACGGAACGGAAACCCCGACGCGGTCGCCCCGTCCATTCGTCCCGCCCGCCCATTTACCTTTTCCACGGGCGCTAATTTAATCCGTCCGTCCGCGCCCCCCCGTCCCGTCCCCCGCTCCCGTGTCGCTCCCCGCCACCGTCACCGCCACCGCCTCAGCAGCCCCTCGTGCGCGCCGCCGCCCAGCGCCTCGCAGATGACGGCCGCCGCCGTCACGCTCTCCCACCAATGACCCGCGCGCAGCCCGCACCCCAGCTCGCCGCGGCGCTCCTCCTCCCCTTCCTGCTGCTGCTGCTGCTCGCGCCCGCGGAGGTCGCGGCCTCCACGCTCGCCGTCGCGGGGGGCTCCGCCGTCTGCGGCGTCGCCGCCGACAACGGCACCGTCTACTGCGTCGCGCCCGGCGCCGGCTCGTCGGCCTACAACGCCTCCGCCTCGCCCGTCGCGCCGTGGCTCGTCTTCTCGCAGGTCTCGGGCGGCGCGGGCTTCCTCTGCGGCGTTGGCGCGGCCGCGGGTGGTGGCGTCCCCGCGCTCTTCTGCTGGCCGCCGGCGGTCCCGGGGCAGCTCAGGCGGGTGTACAGGGGCCCTGCGCCCCTCTCGGACCTCGCCGTCGGGGCCGAGCACGTCGCCGCGTACGACGGGCAGGCGCGCGGGATCCGATGGTGGAGGAGGGAGTCCGGCCAGTTCCCGGAGCTGGCCCTCGGCAAGTTCGGCTCCCTCGTCTCCGGCGACGGCTTCACCTGCGCGCTCGACACGGGCTCCTCCTCCTCCGCGGTCCGCTGCTGGGGGGCTAGAGGTAGCGCCGTGCAGGCGGCCTTCGCCAACGTCTCTGTGTCGTCCCTCGCCGCGGGGGGCTCCCGCGCGTGCGGCGTCGTGTCGGCCACCGGCGCCGTGCTCTGCTCTGGCTTTGTGGACAAGCTCCCGCAGAACGACCTCTACCCGCACGGGCTCGCCGTCGGCGACTCCCACGCCTGCGGTCTCCGGCGGCCTAACCACACCGCCGTGTGCTGGAACCTCGCGGGGCCGACCCCCACCGTCTACTTCCCGGCCTTCGGGACGGCGTTCGAGTTCCTCGTCGCCGGCGGCAACCTCACGTGCGGCCTCGTCACCGCAAACTTCACCGTGCAGTGCTGGTCGTCGACCTCGCCGGCGGCGGACAACGCCGCGGTGATGGTGCCGTTGCCCGCGATTCTCCCCGGCTCCTGCGTCCTCAACGAGTCCTCGTGCGAATGCGGCGTTTACCCTCGGTCCGGAGAGCTCTGCGCGAGCGCGCGCGCGGGCGGCGGCGTTATCTGCAATAGGCTGTGCGACACCTCGACGCCGCCGCCGGCACCGGCGTCGCCTCCTCAGTCACCAACGACGGCTACAAAGCCATTGTCCAAAGTCTGGATCGCCTTCGCCGTCGTAGGCGCGGTCGGTGTCTTCGCTGGCATCTGCTCCATCATCTACTGCTTCGTCTTCGGCTTCTGCAGCCACAAGAGGATCCATAACTCCGTCCAGCCCAATCTCGCCACCAACGCCCCTGCCGCGGCGGCGGATAACGTCGGTGGCGTCGGCGTTGGAGTCGGCGCCGGGGCCGTGGCGAGCCCCTACGGCTCGCCGAACGGGTCACGGGCGCGTGGCCTCTTCCGGCGGCAGCTCTCCCGCGCCATGACGCGGCAGCGCAGCGGGCCGTCGTCCTTCAACTTCAAGGAGCACACCGAGGAGTACACGTTCGCGCAGCTGGCGACGGCGACGAACGGCTTCGAGCCGGAGGCCAAGATCGGCGCGGGGAGCTTCGGCACGGTGTACCGCGGCAAGCTCCCCGACGGCCGCGAGGTCGCCATCAAGCGCGGCGAGGCGTCGGGGCCAATGGCGCGCAAGTTCCAGGAGAAGGAGAGCGCGTTCCGGTCGGAGCTGGCCTTCCTCTCCCGGCTCCACCACAAGCACCTCGTCAGCCTCGTCGGCTACTGCGAGGAGAACGACGAGCGGCTGCTGGTGTACGAGTACATGAAGAACGGCGCGCTCTACGACCACCTCCACCCCAAGGGCGGCGGCGCGGACGCCGACGCGGCGTCGCCGGTGGTGTCGTCGTGGAAGCTGCGCATCAAGATCCTGCTGGACGCGTCGCGGGGCATCGAGTACCTGCACTCGTACGCCGTGCCGCCCATCATCCACCGCGACATCAAGTCGTCCAACATCCTGCTGGACGGCGGGTGGGTGGCGCGCGTGTCGGACTTCGGGCTGTCGCTGATGGGGCCGCCGGAGACGGAGGAGGCGGGCGGCGCGCAGGCGCAACCGCAGCACCTGTCCATGAAGGCCGCCGGCACGGTGGGGTACATGGACCCGGAGTACTACGGCCTGCACCACCTCACCGTGAAGAGCGACGTGTACGGCTTCGGCGTGGTGATGCTGGAGACGCTGACGGGGAAGCGCGCCATCTTCAAGGAGGCCGAGGGCGGGAGCCCGGTGAGCGTGGTGGACTACGCGCAGCCGAGCATCGTGGCCGGGGAGCTCGGCAAGGTGCTGGACGGGCGCGCGCCGGAGCCGTCGCCGCACGAGGCCGAGGCCGTGGAGCTGGTGGCGTACACGGCCGTGCACTGCGTGCGGCTCGAGGGCAAGGACCGGCCGGCGATGGCCGACATCGTGGCCAACCTGGAGACGGCGTTCGCGCTCTGCGAGGGCAGCGCGGGCGGCAGCCGCGGCGCCGGCGGCACCACCACGGGCGGCGGCTTCGGCAACAGCTCGTCCAGCGCCAGCCTCTCCATGACGTCCATGGAGCTGTCCGGAAGGCTCGCGGAGTAGCCACATTCGTTCCAGGAGTTTCAAATTGTGATTAGCCCGGGAAGGAAGGAGGCGAGGTCCTTGGATCGTGATCCGTTTGTTAGTTCATTGATTTTTGATTTGAGGCTAGATTTTGGAACCGGAGAGGTCTCTCTGTGTGCGTGTGATCTGTGATGTGATTATCTCACTCGTCTCACGCATTTTGTTCTTGGTGGATGTACATGATCGTATTGAACTGATCTCTTCTGTCTCAACAATGCTCTCTGCGTTCGAGCCTTTGCGGCATCATTCCCAGCATGATAATTTCTCCCGATTACCCTACGAATCATTGCGTTCCAAGCCACTTTTGTGGGATTCCAGCAGAATCATTGCGTCCCAAGCAGCTTTTTCGGCCATTCAGGAGGGAAGAATCAATCTCGATCATCATCGTCGAGCATCTTTGGAGTTTGAACAGATCAAAGCGCTACCATCTCCCGCGCCGTTCTCTCTTCTTGGCTTCCGGTCTCCGGTCTACTAAAGCGTGGAGCGGTCAAATTTCTTTATTCCAAGTTCCAACCCAAACGCATCGCTGGGCGGTCAATCGGGGGTTCGCTCGCTGTCGCTGGGAAGTGGTTCCGGGCTGCTTCCTGCCGGCGAGCAATCGCTCGGTGTGATTTTGGGTCTGCCGTGACGAGCACGTACGGCGCGGTCGTTTTCTCCGGGCACTCCGCGTCATCTTTGGCCGCCGGTAGTCTCGTGGTGTGCAGTTTCGGCAACCAGGATGACAAAAGGATTGGTCAGGACGAAGCGGACGCCGGTGTCAATTTCAACGCCGATCTCTACACAAACTACTACTGTAGTAGGTCTTTATTAGCCCCTCACCATCGCAAAAATGACAGGTTTTTAGTTCCCACCCGAAGGGGGTTGATTTATGATGTGGCTGCGGTTTTAATGGCGGTCCGGCGAACTCAAAAAGTACAATGCTCAAAACGAATCAACGAAAAAGATGATGAAATGGAAAAAAAAACTGGAATTTTATGAAATCATGACTTTTGAAAACAAACAATATGAAGGTAGATCAATAAAAGTCATATAGTATTAGTTTTTGAAATTGAATAATCTAGGAAAATGAAAATGAATTTTTGAAATGCTGTACAACAATTTTAGTTATTCTTTGGAATTCTATACTTTTGTCAAAACTTATATTTTTATGTTCTCTTTTTTTCGTTTTATGAAGTAAAGAATCTTATTTATTACTGTATATGTATTACTCCCTCCGTTCCTAAATATTTGCCTTTTTAGAGATTTCAAATGGACTACCACATACGGATGTATATAGACATATTTTAGAGTGTAGATTCACTCATTTTGCTCCGTATGTAGTCACTTATTTGAATATCTAGAAAGACAAATATTTAGGAACGGAGGGAGTATAATTTTTAGGTTCTTCAAAATCATTTTATTCCTGCATTTTCTTCTTTTGATGATCCGGTTGTTCTTTTTTGTCACGATTGGGTTGCCATACCTTCAAAACCACCACCACATCCTCAGGCAAAATGTTTTGAGTAGTGTGAGGGACCAAGTCCACTTGCTATTTAAAGTTAATGGTAAAAATTAAAATTGGCAATTACTTGAGAGACCAAATAAAAGTATGATACAAGAAATAGAATTGGTAAATTGTTGACAGACCAAATAAAACTGATCACACGTATTGCTTTTTTCTTCTATTGACAACACACACGATATTTCCCTACCAAAGAAACCATCACACGTATATCATTTCTGTGAGACAACCTATCCCTCACAAGCTAGCCTAAAAAATCCATGTCTTGTCTATGGCGACAAATGCGGTAAAGATTTTGGATAGGTGTGGAAGGCCATATGAGGTCTCGGATATGGCTCTTATTTTAATGGCAGTCCAGCGAACTAAAAAATGGAATTGCATAAAATGTTCAAAATGAAGTAGCAAAGAACTCAATAAAAGAAAAAAACTGAAATTTTATTTGAAAATCATGGACTTTTGATAAGAAATAACATGAAGGTGCATCAATGGAAAATACTACAATTGTTTGAAATTGAAGAATTTAGGAAAATGGGAAATAAACGTTTCGAATGCCCTTGAAAAAAATTAGTTACTTTTCATAATTCTCCTTTTGGTTAGAATAATTTTTTAATCTTCTATTTTTTCATGTCATAAAGTAAACAACTATATTTAATATCATACTAGACTTTTTGGCCATCTAGGTTCTTCAAAACTGTTTTATTCCTCCATTTTCTTACTTCGATGATTTGATTGTTCTTTTTGTCTATGGGGACAAAATCTATCTGCTATTGAAAGTTAATTTTAAAAATTAAAATTGGCATATGAAAACAATTTAGAGTCCGAAATAAACTTTATCACACATATACCCTTTTCTTCTATTGACAACACACTTTTTTCCTTACCAACAAAACCATTGCAAATATAGCATGTTATTCCTTTTTAAATAGTCTATCTCTCACCGGCTTAAAAAAACTCATGTCTTGTCTATGTCGACAAATGCAGTATGGGTTTGGGATAGGTGTGGATGGGCAGATGAGGTATTGGACATGGCTACCATTTTTATGCAGTCCAGCGAACCAAAAAAATGAAATTTTATAAAATGTTCAAAATGATGTAGTGAAATGTTATTTGAAAGTCAGGGACTTCTGAAAAAATTAACATGAAGGCGCATTACTGGAAAATCCTATAATTAATTGAAATTGAAGAATTTAGGAAAATGGAAAAGAAACTTTTGATGGCTAGAATACTCTACTTTTTATCATTTATTCATCCATTTTGTAATTAAACAATTCTAGTTAATACTGTATTATACCTTTTAGCCTTCTAGGTTCTTCAAAATTATTTTATTCATGCATTTCTTCTATTGATGATTTGGTTGTTCTTTTTTGTCTTGACTGCGTTGCCATACCTGCAAAACCACCATCATCAGGCAAAATGTTTCGAGTAGTGTGAGGGACCAAATCCACATGCTATTAAAAGTTAATGGTCAAAATTTAAATTGGCAAATAGTTGAGAGACCAAGATAAACTTATGACACATATGACTTCTTTCTTGTATTGATAACACACACGCTTTTTTCCTACCAACGAAACCATTGCACATATGTCGTTTTATTTGTTTATTTAAAACAACCTATGTCTTGTCTCACTGGTCAAAACTCGTGTCTTGTCTATGGCGAAAAAAAATGCGATACGGGTTCTGGATAGACACGGAAGGCCAGATGAGGATTTGCAGCTCTAGGGATAATCCGATCCCTTTTTCTAGCAAATTCATTTTTTGAGTTTAAAATGTTGAGGACATCCAGAAGGAAAAAAACAACAACTGGTGTATAGAAAGTAGAGTGAGTCTTGTATCATCATGTTGTTGTGAACTTTTTTTGTTGTTTTGTATTCCAGGAACATTTTTTTAGAAGCCATAATAGCATATTTAGGTTGTGGAAAATGTCTCTGTTTTTTTACACCGCAAATCGGATGGAATTTTGTTAGGTAAGTACTCCCTCTACTTACAAATATAACATGTTCTAACTTTTTTTGAATAGGATGTATAATATTCAAATCATCTTACCTCCTAATTATTTTTTGGGAAAGAGATGTGACCTCGGGACTCATTATTTGTTTTCGGTGGGGTACCCCCAACTTCAGCTGATGATAGAACAGGTGCATGGTAGGCCTTTTCACGACACGGTGGCTCAGTCACGAGAGCCTACACACTGACACATCGAATTCCCATACGCATTATTGTGCCCTTTCGAAGTGGCCTATTGAACAGTGTCACACAAGTTGATGCCAGCAACATGGCTTGAGACGTCTCAACAATACATTTTGTCTATATAGGGAAAATGGAGATGGGCGTTCGGGTAGTTGGTGAAACGAATCCCTCGCCGTGTCGCGCTCCCAAGGGCAGCTTCCCCTTCTCCAGTCGTGCCATGCTCCCCATGCTTAACGATCCGGCCATGGAGATGGAGACCGTTCATGCATGTGAAGTGTTGGACAAATACTACCTATCTTTGTCAATGGAGCAAGTAGGAAAACTATAGAAGATTGTGCCAACTGATTTTTCAGTCCCTCCGTAGTGCTTTCGTATTTGGAGTCACGGAAAACTTAACATAGACAATGAGCTACTGTCACTAAAGAAAAGAGCAGACAAAGTCAATGATGGACTTGATTAATCTAGGATTTTTGCTACTCTTGGAATGTAGTTCTTCTAAAGTAGTCACTTCTGTTCACTCTCCTCTCCTCCTCTTTGTTCTCCTTTCAGTTATTCTACACGGTGAGACGAGTTAGTGATGTCACTCACATCGCTGTGGATGCACCTCAAGACATAGATTTAAGTTTGATTTTTTATGCATGCATTTGGGGTTTGAACGTTGAAGTATAATGTCCAGCCTTCTCCTACAGTTTGGACTTTTGGATGAATTGGATAGAGCAGTGGTGGAGCCAGGCTTACCGGTATGAGTGTACATAGTTCAAGATTTTACTATTTCATAGCTATTATATATATATATATATATATATATATATATGCATATTTTATCTACCTAATTTATGCTTCTTTATCGGAATTAACGGGTGTACATATGTACACCCATTTCCCCTTGTGGCCCCATCGATGAGCCGGAGCACGAATTCAATACAATATCATCGTCAAGAAGTCTCAAGTTCAAAAACCTACCGAAGTAGTATTAAAAAAAATATTGTGACCTATATCGTCGCCACGCCTAAGGACTAAGAAAATCTAGACATGAAGGGGAGTGTTGAAATATAATGTTCAATCCTCTGGAAACTCGTGTTGGCACACACCTGCCCAGGCGTGTTGGTCGCCCGATGGCCTCACGATCCGTCAAGTCATTGGATTCTACACGAGAGCACAACAAGTTTTAAAACTTAGTTGCTGAAACTTGCGTTTTTGTCGGTCTTTGTCAGTCGTAGGTTCTGAAACCTACGATATTGTTGGTTGTTCGTACCAAGTTGCAGAAGTTGAAACTGAATGAAGTTCAAAA